TACAGTAGATACAGTAGATACAGTAGATACAGTAGATACAGTAGATACAGTAGATAGATGGATAGATGGATGGATGCACATGCTAATGGGTATATATAAATAATATCTATATGTATAATTACATGAGCAAATGTTATATATATATGTAGGCATAAACAAACATATGCATATATATATATATATTCAGAAGTTTGTGTGTGACACGATATCTGTGATTGTGATATCCTCATTCTGGATGTTTTCCATCCCGGGATAGATTGAGACATAGATAGATAGATAGATAGACAGACAGACAGATAGGGATAGATAGATAGACAGACAGATAGATAGAGATAGATAGAGATAGATAGAGATAGATAGAGATAGATAGAGATAGATAGAGATAGATAGAGATCCGCTAGCTAGCTCTCGATCCCTCGCGCCTACTCGCTCGATGGCTCGCTCCACGTAGCTATTCCCTCGCTCGCTCCTCGGTCTGGCTCGCTCGCTCGCTCTCGGGCTCTCGGGCTCTCGGCTCTCGGGCATGGCTCGCTCGGGCGGCGGGCTCGCTAGCTCGCTCGGGCTCTAGCTCGGGCTCGCTCCTCGCTCTGGCTGGCTCGCCACTCGCCCGTCCTCGGGCATCGCTCGCTCGCCTCCCCGTCTCGCTCGCTCGCTCGGGCGGGCTCGCTCGCCGCTCGGGCTCGCTCGCTCGCTCGGGCTCGCTCGTCGCTCCTCTCTCGCTGCTCGCTCGGGCCGCTCGCTCCGGCTGCTCGCTCGGGCTCGCTCCTCGGGCTCGCTCGCTCAGGGATCCTCTCGCTCGGGCTCCGCTTCGCTCGGGCTCGCCGCTGCGGGCTCGCTCGCTCGGGCTCGCTCGCTCGGGTCCTCCGCCGCTCGCTCGCTCGCTCGCTCGCTCCTCGCTCTCGCTCGCGCTATCTCGCTCGCCTCGGCTCGCTCTGCTCTCTCTCGCACTCGCTCTCGACTCCATCTTCGCCTATAGACAGATAGACGATAGACAGACAGAAAGAGATGATAGATCGATCGACCTCGAGATAGATATAGATCGATATAAATAGATATAGAGAGATTTAGATAGATTTAGATAGATATAGATAGATATAGATAGATATAGATAGATATAGATTGATAGATACTATTATTATATATTATTATTATTGTCATTGACATGTTTATTTTCATCATTATTTTCATTATTATTTGCATGCGTGCGTGGGGGGTTCGGATCCCCCATTCTATCCCATCAACCAATGCTAGGATCAACTAAGCAGTGCTGAACTCACCAACCGGAATCAACCGCAGCTTGGAGCACGATCTCGTTCAGGAGCTCCGGGAAATCTTTGCGAAGCCTCGACTTTTCATTGCAAACGTAGGGATCCACTGGGCTGTTTTGCAAAAACAAATGAACAATTAAGACTTCTAGATGGATCAGAACTTGTAAATTAATGGTGAAACATCGGAATCTCAAGATAAGTCCAAGGTTTGTTTCCATGCCCCATGGTCTTCCATGGCTTTTCCCACAGTTCTTTTTCCCTTACACCAACTCCTGGACGCTCCAAGTGACGGCAGATACACCGCCGTCCCCCGCTCCGGGGGACGCCGTGGCAATGTGGCATCTGCCAGGAGGCGCTGAGGCGTCACGTGGGGCAGTGGACACGACGCGGTCTCATCGAAGAAGAATCTGACAGAAAGTCAGGGAAGTCTATAAACTAAACCTCCTGGGGTAGATCCAGTTGAAATCAACGACTTCCATTTGGGGATGATGTTTTTAGCCACTTATGGCCTATGGCCTATGGCCATGTTGGGGATGGTTTACTATGATTACTATGGGGGTTTACCATAGAGGAAGAAAATGTGATGGACGCCTTAACTAGCTGTTGTTGACGCTCAGTCCTCTGAAAAAAATGATCGTTAGTTGGGTCACTCCAGATGGAAAATCAAAAATCAAAAATAAGTTACTGTCTTGATAGGCCTGATTTGGTGGAGATACCCTTCCGAGAATACCTTTAGATACGCTCGGTCTCTTTTTCTTTCTGTTTTGCACCAAGCCCTGACTCGGCCTTTCGTGAGACAGGTGCCAGCTACTGGGACGATTCTCGAAGAGATGCAAATATTTGAAGCACGAACCAAAAAGGCGGTCCTTTTTCGGGATGCCTTTCTTATCTTCAAATCAAACTTGGACATTTCGGTACCTCCAGGCTCTGCACTGGCGAGGGGAAGTCGTGCTTTTCACTGAGATTAGAAAAGCCAGCCAGATTTTAGATCCAGTAGGGCTACAAAAGCATATGCTACAAAAGCAAATGAAACATGAAACACCCCAACACTTTTTTGCTGGGTTCCTTCCTCACTGCCCTCCACTCCCATCCACTGGGGCCTGTATGGATTGGAGAGAATATGTGGTCGAGAGGAGAGAACGAACGCGGACTTGAATCCCACGCCTTTCTCGCCAGTTTGTGCAATTCCCTTGGTCGAAGAACCCAAACCTCGGTGTCTTTTTTCACAAGAATCTGACCAGTGCCACTCCCTCAGGGCAGCCCTTGCTGCAGGATCTATAAAAACTCAATCTCATCAATGGCTGATGAAATCCTCACTGCAAGGATAACCTTTGGATGGGCATTTGGGAACTACATGACTATAATGACTAAAGCAAGGATGGAAAAATGCTTCGCTTCGAATGGAAAGCCCCCCACTTCAAGCCGTAGAAAGGTTGACAGGAAATGACAGAAATGATTGACACCACTTGTTGCTAACTTGTGTGTGTGTGGGTTTGTATGTAATGTGATGTGATGTGATGTGATGTAACGTAAATGTAACGTAAATGTAACGTAAATGTAACGTAAATGTAACGTAAATGTAACGTAAATGTAACGTAAATGTAACGTAAATGTAACGTAAATGTAACGTAAATGTAACGTAAATGTAACGTAAATGTAACGTAAATGTAGCGTAAATGTAGCGTAAATGCAAATGTAAATGCAAATGTAAATACAAATGTAAATGTAATGTAATGTATAGGTATACGTATATGTATGTGTGTGTATGTGTGTGTGTGTCGAGCGTTTATATTTGCCGCTCATGAGTTTTCCCACCCTCCAGCTTCACACCAAAGGGCTGCAAAGTGCTTCGACGTCCTCCCACGAGAAGCCTCGCTCGTTGTACTCGATCCTCGATTGTCAATGAGATTGGATTCCTGGATGAGTACAAATGGTCTCACAAAATTGGGTTAGAGCATCCATTCTCGAGATTTTCGTGGGTTGGTAAACGTGTTGATAATCTCTACTACTACTACTGCTGCTACTACTACTACTACTACTACCACTACTACTACCACTACTACTACCACTACTACTACCACTACTACTACTACTACGACGACGACTACTACTACTACTACTACTACTATGTCTTCGAGGTTAGGTGTTCATTTTGCTTGCTCATGCAAGCCTTAACGCTCGGGCTATCTTGACTGCGAGACCCCAAGAAAATCAGCAAACCCCAGCACATTCCAAGCAACTCTGACGGTTTTTTTGAGCCCAGCATCCACAAATAATTTCCAGTTTGCTCGATCTGCATTTCTGCCTCTTGGTCGTAGCTGCAATCGTCCGCATTTTGAAGAAGCTCCCAAAGAGCTCGCGACGGACCCGAGTACAGCTCGCTGGACATCAACTTCCTTGAGATGCTCAGAGGATCAATGGGAGCATGTCTCCGCATGTCTTGGCAGGTTTCAAAGTACCATGAACCATTTCTTTCCGGTTGCATCCGCAGTAAATGAAGTTTCGGGACAAGGGTTGCTTCAGTCTCCATTGTGAGGGCTTTGGACATCTACAAGCACACTCATATCTTCATACAAAATCCGATAGTGCTTGTTTTCTAATGTGCATGTATATTTACGTTAAAAGAAAGTATCAATATCGACATCCACCTATTTCATCTATTTCATGTCTATATCTATTTTTGTCATACAATGTCATCCATCTCCCCATCCAAAAAAAAAACAAAGCTCCAACCGATTCTAACCCATTGAACTTTCCCTCTTTTTCCTCTCTTTTTCCTCTCTTTTTCCTCTCTTTTTCCTCTCTTTTTCTTTCAAGATTTCCCAAGCATCAAGGAGTTGCGCAACATGCTCCCTGCCAGCTCCGGCAGCTCCGCCTGCAGCTTTCGCCGCAGCTCCTCCAGCTCCGTCGCCGCCACGGCACATCCGGCCGCCTGCGGAGCTCGGCGCGGCGCATCTGGAACGACCGGGGCCTCGCGCTCACCTGGCGCGGTTCAAAGGCCACCAAAGTAGGAAGTAAGTTGAGGAAAACATGAGAAAACCGCCAAAAAGTTGGTCAAAAATGAGGCGAAAATTGGTTGGGGATCAGAAGAAACGAAACATCTTGGGAGTTTTTTTCGGCAGGTTGGAAGTCTTATGGGGTCTTGACCCAGAACCAACGCCTTCAACCTGTGTGACTTTGCGCCGCAGCACGGCCATTTCTTCGCGTAGCTGGTTCAGAGTGGCTTCTGCAGTGTATCTCTCCTCCTTCACTTTCTGCAACCTTTGTGCAGGCCGGAGATGGCTCCCATTCAAATCTGCTATTCCAGTACGACATCTGCAAGGGAAACCTCAAAAACCCTCCATTTTGCACGGAAGCCCAACTACCCTCAAATAGCATCAGGCAAGGCAGGTGGAGGTGGAGAAGAATGTCCCGTTCGATCACAAGGACATGGGCCGAGCTGCTCAGTTCGAGCATCCTGCAGCTGTTGACACGTCAGCTCCATGCCCTGTTCCCGCGCAATGCGCAGCAGGCTCTGGTTTTGCACCGCACAGGCACCGGCGCTGCGAGTCACGTGCAGAGATGCACCAAGGCTCCTGGGATCACCAACGGATCACCAACTTACATGAGATGGTCACCTCCTTAAAGTCACAGGCACCCACCATTTATGCATGGTTTCAACATGTTTATAACATTTTATAACCGGTTGAATACCACTTCACACTTGACCCCAGTTTGGGGCGCACTGACTTGGATTCATCTCGTATCCCTATAAACATCTCTGGTTGCAACTAGCGCCCAGGTGCTTCACCACAATCTGCATGGCAATGCGCTGCAGTTCTTCCACTGACAGCGAAGACAAATCTCCCGGGATGTTTTGATCCTCAGCGAGCGCTGTGGAATATTCCGGTCAAATGGTGGAATGAATGCATCAAGACGAACCATTCACCTACTCGAACATATAAAGATATAATGCATATAGCAATCCCAAATCCCCATGTCAAATGTCGGCAAATCATCCAAAAATCCAAGCTCTGCCCAATCACGTCCGCTGTGCTACCGGAAAAAAGTCAGATTCGAGGAAAATATGATCCTGATTCAAGGATGGGAAAAAAAGAAATACCCAACTCACCCATCCCAATAGTCGTTGGTGAAAGGCCTCAATATCTCCCACCAAATTCACCAAAATTTAGGCCAGAAAATGTCTTTCCCGGGAGGATGCCGCTTAAAAAAATAAAAACAAGAAAAAAACTACGAACGACAAAATCTACCCAAAAATTAAATAACTCACAACAAGTATGATATGACCCATTTATGCCCGTATGATATGGATATAACCTATCTATACGGTGCCTCTGATGTGGCAAACCCAATAATGAACCATCGCTCATATCACCAGAAATGGCTTGCATACACCTCAAAATTCGCGGGTTTTGGCATTGGGTTTACCACATTGCATGTCGAGATCCCATCAAAACCATGGAAATCCCGTTAAACACCCATAAAAATCCCTTATTTTTGATGCTTCAATCACCCACATGATCACATATCTTGGAGGCGGCTTCACCAACAGATTGAATCTCAGCCCTGGATCAATAAACCTCTGGGCTAATTGGGGTTGGTATATCAAATTATCACTTGGGGAGTACCTCCCAAAGTAATAAACATTAATAAACATTGATCAAGCATGGTTTATTCATGTTTTATTCATGTTTTATCCAGGGTTGTCATCCAGCTCCAGCATCTTTCATCATCGCCTCCAGTGATCTCTTCAGCTCCTCCGACCTAAACTGGTCCTCCAGCGCCGGCAGCGCCAGCTCCTGCCCCGGCGGTGTCGGCGGTTTCGGCGGTTTCGGCGGTCGCGGCTGCGCAAAGTCGAAGGGCGCGGCCCAGCGGATGACCTGGGAATCCAACATGGCCATGTAAATCGCTATGTAAATCGCTATGTAAATCCCAGTGAAAATTATGAAAATGGATGAAAATAGATTGACCATCGCATGGGTACATAATCCTACTCTTGAAATCAGTAGCAGGTGCTCCACTTTAAGGTTTGTTGCCCGGAGGATAGTGGCTGTCAACAGTGTATATACACGGAGTACACGGGTGTGCATGTATCAAAGATCCAAGATGATTCAAAGATGCCAAACTCAACTATTGAGGCGTTGCGGTCTCACATCGTGTGGCTGGCAGTGTCAAATCTGACACTAGTCAACCACTTCGAATTACCCTAGCTGCGATAACAGAGCAATAAGCCTCCAAAAGCGCCAAGGGTTTCATTCACTGCAAGGCCCCCACCTGATCTTCCTATTCCCCAGTTCCCATCTGTCGAGGTTTCCACGGTCGCCAAGTGGCGGCAGCCTCCCCTTCTGCCACCTCCACCACCACCCGCAGTGGCACATGTGGCAAATCCGAGTGCTGTCGCCCCAACTCCAGCTGCCAGGGGCCGCGGAGCCCCTCCGTCAAAAGCACAGAGAGGGCGAGCCTCTCCTGGGCTCAGGAAGTTTCCTCCAACAAGTGGAAAACATTTGAAAACAATCCAAAAATGGTTGGCCTTGTTTGATTCTGAGGTAGTGATTGATGATCACCAGGTTTGGGTGCCTGCATGTGTTGGAATGAACACTTTGCCTCGCCTGAGCGTGCGCTTGTGTGCAATGAGTGGGCCTTATAGTCTCTAGCGCATCTTGCTTCACAAAAGGAGTCTTGCTTCAAGGAAAGCAACAGTAGAATCATTCGATTTCGAAGCACATTCATCCACTACGTGCGAAGTTGGGGAAGCCTCGAAACGAATACAGCTACCCAAATTGCCAGTGTGGATCTAAAAAAGATATCAGATTTCTGGGACAGACCCAGGACAAAGCCATCCAAAATCCAGTAGAATGATCTCCAGTCGACCTTATGTCCCTCCTCCCAGCTTTATGCATTGCATGCTGGGTGTCCAAATCCACCTTCACGCCAAATCCTTGAGAACTCGGCCCTATCTGCACATTGCCAGAGGCGACTCGCAGATTGAGACCTGCATCAGCTGTCGTTCGTGGGTCGGAGGCGCCCACATGGTCCCAGCTGCAAACAGAGTTGGAACGCGGGTGCACGTGGGGGTACCCTAGGGTAAACTAACATAGATGTGGAGTTTACCCACCATTTATCGATCATTTTCCTATAGAACCCATGGCTTTTCCACATCTTTTTGTATGTTTACCCTAGGGTAACCCCTGATTGGAAGACTCCAACTGGGACGATGATGGCGCACCATGGTCACAGCTCAGCGTGGCCAACGGCAACATCTGCTCGCCCCCCTTGGTGACCATGGCCCGGAGGCACTTGACGTAACCTGGATGCTGCAGTCGTCCACGTAAAGTGCTTGGATGGGCACGGTGAAACATACCAATGGAATCCAATGGATTGGTTTACTGGGAAAATGGTCCTTGCTTTTACTCAATTACATATTATGTTACTGTATACTTATATGCATATTGGACTATGTGTACATTATATATTATATATATAGTATATGCCTGCCCTTCATCAATCTTAATCTTGGATAGGGCTGGTGGGAGTCTCAAAGCAACTTTATCATTGCAGTTCACCGTTTGCCGGTCTGGGTGCTGTTTTGACATCTACTGAAGTCATATTCTTCCAGTGATTCCAGTGATGGTTGACATCCCAAATTCGCCAGGGCGCTGATGTCATCTCCATCTTGCTCATTTCGCATGACGAAGAACGTGACGTCCGTTGGGTCTTCGGACTGGGGGTTGGAAGCCACCTGGATGAACCTGGAACCGCAGCATTTTGGAACCATATTCTCAGACCAGCCCAATTGAAGATGGTTTGGAATAATCTCCGGACGGAATTACAAGTGTGTACTGTTATGTGACTCTTGGGCTAATCGAATTGTTGGCTTAAGCTCTTTCCCACCACACGGCACCGCTGCCAGAGCATCTCGACCAAGGCGCTGCAGGTCTTTTAGCTTTTCTGTGGCTTGGGGATGATGTTCGAAGACACTTCGCATCAGCCTCTCTGCTTCCTTGGCTATGAGGGCCCTGGTTCCCCTGGGAGTCGTGAGGGGAACTTCCACATCCAAATCTCAGTGCCAGGCGGGCTCCAAACGTCTCGGTGGGTTGGAGTGGGCCTTTCGCAAGGTGACAATCTCAGACCGCAGCTCCTGGAGGTTGCGGAAGCTCCTCCCTGCCAGCTCCACTGGGCCGCTGTTGGCAAACTCTTGACGGTCCCTTCCGTCGATCCTGGCCCCAGGAAGACTTCTTTGTGTGCCTCTAAGGCAAGGAGCTGGATGACATTGGGATACAGATGCGTGCTCACCGTATCTATCTATACATGCACAAATGCACGTGTATATATATATATATATACATACAGATGTGCATTGTGTGTGTGTATATGTATGTGCGAAGATCTACTGTATGTGTTGCTAACATACACGCACATCTTTAAGAAGTAGACATCCACACATCCCGCGACCAGTCTTCGTAGGCGCTGGCACCGCTAAATGCACTGAGCACCTCGAGGCCGTCCAGGAGGAATGGAACTAAAACATACTAAAACGATAAAGCCTGGGGATGATAGTCAATGATGAATAATGTTATACAGTTATACACGTATAGATGTATAGATATGGTTATAGGTGGTTGGAAAAACGTATGTGTATATATATATAAGTTATATATAAGTATATAATATATGTGATTATATATATATGATATTATATATGGCTGCAACTAGCCAACTCTGCTAGAATTGATTTCAGAATTACTGGTTGACCAGGCCTCTGGCGGGAGAAAACCTTGCCAGATCTGCCAACACCAATGGAGTGAAGCCATCAGAAAATGGTGCATGTGTCTTCACCATCTCCAACATGTTCTGTTTTATGGTGATCACATAGGCCATCACTGACTTTAGCAGTCTTGATTTTGGACACATATGGATAAACAATGTCCGGTAGCTGTAACTATTCTCGGGTAGCACAGTATCCTGTGTCCATCAAAAGCTCGTCGAATTTTGTCATGCTGCTTGCACGTAACCAACCTGACTCAAACGCGGATCAAAATTGACATCCAAATACTGCCTGCAGCAATTATTTGGGCGCAAAAATGCATTATGCATCACAAGAACAATTGCGTAATTAGAATGATAGCATTGTTGATTGATTACTGGAACGACCTTGTTTTTAAGCAATAAGGGTAGCCGGAGGAGAAAAAAAAATTAGAATCGAGTAGATCACAATGATCCAACTACGATTCACAGTCCAATAGTGTCCAAAGCACTGGCCAAGAACCTCAAAGTACAATTCTTTGGTACTGAAGAAGATGTGGCCGCGATCAAACGCATGCAGGCCGCCTGCTGGCGTGGTCCACGTCAAACAAAGGGATGCGGGATGCCCTTTTAACCCCATCCCTCAATATTAAATATTGAAACAGGGACCCCAAAATCAGCTCAACCAATGGCAAGAATAATTATGCCCAACCCAATTTTGACTGGAGGTCCTATCCTAAAAATCTCGGTGAATTTTCCTCTGGCCCAGCCTGACAGCTCCTTTCCCCAGCTGCCATCCGCGAACTGCGGCACCGCCAGCAGCGGTGCGGCGACGCCGGCGGCGAACGGTGACACCTGCGGACCGTGGCCGTCGCCCTTGAAATAGCGGTCGTAGCGGCCTTTGCCACCTTTACCTGCAGTTGATTCGAGTTGAGCTGATTTCCCATGTCACTAGTTGAGTCAGGCTATGAGAACCCATTGCGATTGACCGGATTTTTGCGGATCGTTGTTAAGGGTGTCTCTGAAGTTACAAGCTGGTTTCGTGAAATGGCGGCCCTGACTTCTGTACCTCAGTAGTTCAGTACTTCAGCACCTCTGGGAGCATTGCAGGCCAATTTCAGGAGGTGAAGCTGCTGGGCCCTGAAGCTGCTGGGCCCTGAAGCCGAGCAGCCTTTCCATTCGTCTTTGCCTTTGCCACCCTTTCCTTTTCCCATGGCGTCCAATCATCCAGGCAAGTTCTGAAAGAGTAGTGGCTAGTGGCTTGGGAACTGGCTGTGCTGGCTTAGGACCAACTCCATGAAATGAAGGTGGGTGCTTGGAGTTCCCTCAAGTTTTGGACATGCCCCAGGTGTCACATTCTGAAAAGTTTGAATCCAACAAACCCTAGCGGCCCTAGCATCTCTCCTTTTAGCTGTCTTTTAGAGGCTTCCGCCTGGGAAGTGGATCTTGAAGATCTTAAGGGATGCAGCTCTGAAGCCACGAATGCTGCAGCAATCCACTTTTCAGAACCAAACATTCGGTGGGACACGAACCCCTACTGGTTGGGCTGACCCCGCCACCATGTGTCCCTATACTCAACACGGAGAGCACTGGACACCCCGTCGCAACTGAATTTGAACCAAACATGCGACATGGCAACTGTCAAGCTGACAGCTTGCAGCCAAATCATAGCCATCATACCGTGCTTCTGGTTTGAGACTGGTACTAATTTTGCCGCTTTTCGCACCTGATACGTGCGGTTGTTTTCATTCTCTCGACAATTTCACTCTCCTCTGCGCCATTCTTCTCCACCTGAATTGCTCGGTCCGCAGCCCCCATGATCTTCGCTCTTTCTTGCTAAGCAATGAATCCTGAACCAACCTAAGCACTAAATGGACTACTCGTGCAGTTCTGGCAACCTTTGGCCACGAACTCGACTCTAAAAGACGCTGAAACCCTGGCACGACCATAAGAAGACTAGCTGTGCAAAATGTCAGGCCTCAAAATTGACCATGAAAAACAAAATGACTTCAGGGGTGACCCAATTTTTTGCAAATAAACCCAAATGTCAGCATATCAAATCACTGCCATGTCGCTCTTGAAACAGCTTGGAGGGTCACTTTGCCCTTCAACCAGCATAGTTTCGCGATGATCGGCCAATCAGCTCGCCAGAGCTACGGTCGAGAGCTGGGTGAGTGGCTCCGTACGTTGTTCAGCAGCCCTCTGGAAGGACCTGGCGCATTTTGGGAAGCTGTACAAATTCTCGGAAAATTAAATGACAAATATGTACAGTAGAGTCTGCACGTACGTACGTACGTACGTACGTATGTATGTATGTCTGTCTGTCTGTATGTCTGTGTGTGTGTGTCTGTGCGTGTTTGTGTGTATGTGTGTCTGTGTGTCTGTGTCTGTGTGTCTGTCTGTCTGGCTGTCTGTCTGCCTGCCTGCCTGCCTGCCTGTCTGTCTGTCTGTGCCTGTCTGTCTGCCTGCCTGTTTGCCTGTCTGTCTGCCTGCCTGCCTGTCTGTCTGTCTCTGTCTCTATCCATCTATCTCTCTATCTCTCTATCTCTCTCTCTATATCTATCTATCTATCTGTCTGTCTGTCTGTCTGTCTGTCTGTCTATCTATCTATCTATCTATCTATCTATCTCTCTCTCTCTATCTCTATCTATCTACCTATCTATCTATCTATCCATGCATGTAGCCATGCATGTATCTATGCAGGTATCTATGCATGTATCTATGTATGAAACCATCCATGTATCTACGCATGTATCTGTGCATGTATCTATGTATGTATCTATGCATGTATCTATGCATGTATCTATGTATGTATCTATGTACCTACGTATCCATGTATCTTTGTATCTATGTATCTATGCATCTATGTCTCTACGTATCTATGTGTCGATGTATGGATGCATCCATGTATCCATGTATCTATGTATCCATGTATCCATGTATCAGTGCATGTACCATGTTATGTATCTATGTGTGTTTCTATGTATGTGTCTATGTATGCACCTATGCATGTATCTGTGCGTGCATCTATACATGCATCTATGCATGCATCTATGCGTGAATCTATGCATGCATACATGCATGCATCTATCTATCTATCTATCTATCTATCTATCTATCTACATATATATATTTATCTATCTATCTACATATATATATTTATCTATCTATCTATCTATCTATCTATCTATCTATCTATCAATGTATGTATGTATGCATGCATGAATGTATGCATGTACGCATGTATGCATGTGTGCATGTATGGATGTATGTATGTATGTATGTATGTGTGCGTGTGTATGTGTGTATGTGCGTATGTGCGTATGTATGTATGTATGTATGCATGCATGCATGTATGTATGTATGTATGCGTGTGTATGTGTGTATGTGCGTATGTGCGTATGTATGTATGTATGAATGAATGTATGTCTGTCTGTCTGTCTGTCTGTCCGTCTGTCTGTATGTATGTATGTATGTATGTGGGTCTGTCTGTCTGTCTGTCCGTCTGTCTGTCTGTATGTATGTATGTATGTATGCATGCATGGATGTATGTAATGTAATGTAATGTAATGTAATGTAATGTAATGTAATGTAATGTACGTATGTATGTATGTATGCATGTATGTATGGAAGAATGTATGTAAGAATGTATGTATGCATGTATGCATGTATGCATGTATCTATGTATCTATGTATGTATGTAAGTATGTATGTATGCATGCATGGATGTATGTAATGTAATGTAATGTAATGTAATGTAATGTAATGTAATGTACGTATGTATGTATGTATGTGTGTACGTATGTATGTACGTATGTATGTGTGGATGTATTACTGTAATGTAATGTAAATGTAAATGTGAATGTAAATGTACATGCGAGTGTAAAAGTAATGTGATGTGATGTAATGTATGTATGTACGTATGTATGTATGTATATATGTATGTATGTATGTCTATCTCTGCGTGTGGTTTTGTATATGCAATGCATGTGGGTGCCTGTAACAGACTGTAATGAAATTCCATGCAATTTTCCAATGCATGAATGGCGGGGAGGGAGGGAGAGAGGGAGAGAGAGAGAGAGAGCGAGCGAGCGAGCGAGGGAGGGGGGATAAACAAACAGACAGACATGACAGACAGCCAGTCAGCCAAACAAGTACATAGAATCAACAGATGGAGAGATAGAGAGATAGAGAGTTTGGGATTGGGTTTGGTTTGGGTTGGTTGGGGGGGCCAGGTTGACTTTAGCCTGAAAGCAGCGCACCCAAGCGAGAGAAACGTAGACGAAAGGGAAACTTCAGACAATGATGACCATTCTTTTTGCAGGTTTGTCAGCGCATCCAATCGCCCCTGCAGCCCCAAAACATAACCAAATGCATTAATTTGGTGGGCCCTGGGTTGCTACCGGGCTTCGTTTCACATACCCGTAAGCTGCACAGCCCTCCCTGCAGGGCCAAGAGAAGCTCTAAAAGTTTTCTAGGCATTTAAAGCCTGCTAAAGTCAAACGTGTTCAAAGGTGTCCAAAATATTTCAAGGATTAATGTGCTAAAGTAATAGTTCATGCTAAAGTCAAAGCTGTCCCAAATCTGCACCAAGGAAAAGTGCCTCAGGTCTCTGCCCAAGGCCAACACATGATCCATGCCCAAGTGACTTGTCTAACTCCTGATGCTCCGGTGCTTCAAACAGACGCCTCAGCACAAGGCACACAAAAAACACCCAGTAGTTATAATATATCCTGGGGTACACTATGTAGCATAGATGTGAAAATCCCATGGTTTTTGCAGGACAATGAACTACAAATGGTTGGTTTTCCACATCTATGTCAGTTTACTGGAGGGTATCCATATCCCACAACATGGCCATAACCCACCATCAATGTAGTCAATCCCCCTTCGGCTGGGCAGCCCGGGCACGAAGTCCTCCAAAAAGAAGATTTCATGACCTCGGCTTCCAGGCGTGCACCTGCGAAGGTGAATCTACCTTGGGATGTTTATCAAACATCAAACCATATCAAGCCTCAGAAGGAGCTACTTGGATTACTTGGTGCCTCTGAAATCCACAGGTCATTTCCCACCAAGGTCGCAACTCTCAGATTGCACCGGGTGGACCAGCACCCGAGCCTCTTCCCCGGCCTCCGAGGGGTAGTTTGCGTGATGATGGAAATCTGAGGATCATTATTTACACATACCAGTAGTACCACACAAGGCAGTGGCGGCAGTTTCAAAAATGGGACACCTATAGGAGAGGTGGGTTGTTGGAGCAAGATCGTTGGAATGTCGAACTATCCATCCATCTATCTATCTATCGATCGATCTATCGATCTATCGATCTATCGATCTATCGGTCTATCGATCTATCGATCTACTAATCTATCTAATCTATCTAATCTAATCTAATCTAATCCAATCCAATCCAATCCAATCTAATCCAATCCAATCTAATCTATCCATCCATCCATCCTTCTCTTGTCTACTGATCTATCTGTCTATCAACCCAGCCATCTCTCTGTCTCCATCCATTTGCTTAGCTCTCTATCTGTCTGTATTGTAGCGTAGCGTAGCGTAGCATAGTGTAGTGTGGTGTGGTGTGGTGTGGTGCGGCGTGGTGCGGTGTGGTGTGGTGTGGCGTAGTGTGGTGCAGTGTGGTGTAGTGTAGTGCAGCGCGTGCTGCAATGTAGTAGTAATTGCAACTGTAGTTGCAATTGTAGCTGTAGCGTAATGTAATGTAATTAGTGTAGCGTAGCGTTGTGTAATGTAGTGTGGTTGCAGCTGCATATGTGTTTGTAGTTGAGGTGTGCTGCAGTTTAATTAGCGTAGTCTCGTGTGATGTAGCGTAGTTGCAATTGTAATTGTAGCTAGTTGTAGCAGTAGCGTAGTGTAGCGTAATTAGATGTAAATAGTAGCATAGTATATTTGCATTTGTAGTTGTCGTAGCAGTGTGGCGTAATGGCAGTGGTAGTTGTACTTGTAGTTGTCTATCTGTCTATCTGTCTATCTGCAAGCTTGAAAACGAAGCTATTCTGCGAGACATCCTCAGTTTTTGGACTTGACAACGTCAAAAACGGAGCACTTCTGCGAGACTTCCTCCATTTTCGAACTTGACAACGTCGAAAGCGAAACAATTCTACGAGACTTCCTCACTGTTCGAACTTGACAACATCAAAAACGAAGCAATTCTGCGAGACTTCCTTCAAAAAATTGTAAGTTGACTGCAGAGCCGACGGCCTCGTACCGATGCGTTTTGCGATTTTTCCAGTCCATCTGTCTAAAGTATGTGCCTGCCTGCCACGAAAAAGTGAGGCCAGGTCATACGAAGTGCTGCACCTGTCACGCAAAATCATCTTAGCAAACCTGAAGATCTCATGCTCCAAAATGCAACCCCTCTGAGGAAATCTCCGCCCCGATCTCCTAACACATCTAACTCATGTGTCTCTTGTACTGCGCTGCCGCGCGAAACGCATCTTTCCAGATCTTCTTCAAATGTCCCACGGCTGCCATCGTTTTTGAAACTGCTAAAAAAAACCGCACGTTTTGCTCACTTTTGACCAGGTGCACGCAAAACGACATCCGAACGTCCAAAAGTGCTCTGTACCCCTCAGTTTTCTGCACTTTTGACTTCGAAATGTGCTTCGCGCTACAACGGCGTGCGCTTTTTCGACATCTGAACGTCCAAAAGTGCTCCGAGACCGTCCGCTTTTACACTTTTGACTTTGAAATGTGCTTCGCGCCACAACGGCGTGCACTTTTTCGACATGTCAACTTCCAAAAGTGGTCCGAGAATGGTGTGCTTTGTACATTTTGGCTTGGACATGTGCTTCTTGCGACAACGGCGTGCAATTTTTAATCGCTCCGCGCCCGCCGCTTTAGCGAGCCTACTGTTCAACCCTCCGGAGCCAAGAATCAATGGAAAAACACAGTGTTTCGCGACTTTCCGACCTTTTCGCGCACCTGGATCTTCTTTCTTCTGACTGTCTCTTCTTTGATCCTCTTTCTTCTTCTCTGCGCTTCTCTTCTGACTGTCTCTTCTTTGATCCTCATTCTTCTTCTCTTCTCTTACTCTTCCCATGTCTGCTTTTCATCTGTCCATATTGTCGGAAGTTTGACTTCTAAACTTCCTTCGACTATGACTATCCATATCTTGGTGTCTCGCTATTTTTCTATTCCCTATATAATCATTGGTGAAACCAATACCCTCAAGATCAAACAAACCACCTTGTCCGACAAATTAGAACCCCAAATCTGAGGTCTAGAATGGTGTTCCTTTAAAAAACCCAAGGTTTTCAAATCTCTTAACGGAAAGCATGCTAGACCCCCAAAGTCTACGGAGGGGTAGGGGTCTAGAATCATGTTCCTGTAAGCTATAAAATTATGGAAAATTGACACGATTTTTTTTGGGAATCTCCTTGTTATGATTTAAAGCAAAATTTTGCATTTCATTTGCGCACAGTTTTTGTCCTCCCGTACGCATTGCACGGTTCAGGTCATCATAATGTTTTGGATTTTTCTGTTTTTGAAGGATTTTGTTTAAGGCTGCGTCAGGTCCACCTTTTCCGGAAAATATAAGCAGCACCTTTTTTTTAAGCAAAGTCGGGATGGATGCAAAAATCGATTGCAACCTTTTGACCCCCTTTCCCCCCACAAAGACTGCGTCGTCCAGTCATCTTTTGAAATCACCCTCTTCCTTTTAAAACATCTTACCGCATTACAGTCTGGCAAGACTACCGCATTGAAGGAAAGATTGCCTTGCCCATGACCGGTCTCAAAACTTCCTGGGCCATCAGTCTCTCCCCCTTCTTTGTTCTCCGAAAATTCTCTATCAAATGTGTTGCAGACGGATGTAAAATGCAGAAGCGATGTGACAAAATGGCTAAGTTTGGGTTACAGCTGGCCATCAGTCAGCACCTGTGTGTCTAGAATAGTTGCCTTCAAGCTCCAACAAACATTTTGACACGCATTGACCTGGGGAAGATGATTATAGACCCGCGTCCTTCTTTCCAAACGGTTTGGTTGAACCAAAAGTGCTGGTACCTAAAGAATGTGCAGAAGGATGTAGAATGGAGAAGGGATAAGTTGGCTTATCGTTGGCCATCAGTGAGCACCTGGGGTTCTGGAATGGTTGCCTTCAAGCTCCAAAAGACATTTTGGGACGCATTGACCTGGGGGAGATGATTATAATTGATTACAGACCCGCGTCCTTCTTTCCAAACGGTTTGGTTGAACCAAAAGTGCTGGTATCTAAAGAATGTGCAGAAGGTAGAATGCAGAAGGGATGTCAAAGGATGGCTAAGCGGCTAAGTTGGCTTATAGCTGGCCATCAGTCAGCACCTGGGGGTCTAGAATGGTTGCCTTTAAGCCCCAAAAGCACTTGACACGCACTGACCTGGGGAAGATGGCCATAGACCCGCGCCCTTTTTTCCAACCGGCCTTGTTGAACATTGTTGAACCAAAGTGTTGGTATCTAAAGAATGAAGGTGTTGGGTGGAAACACGGAGGCGCATCACTGCAGATTGCTCATCACAACTTGACCTGGCATTTCTACTTACTTTCCAAACAGCATTGGCATTGTGTGGGAGGTTAGAGGCAATGGTGAGGCTCATGTTTTTTCAATTGCGGATGTTGCCGGATATAGTTCAACACCTTGTTTATCATTGCACATTGCTGCAGCTGCTCAACACCGTTTTACCTCCTTTTTTCAGAAATTTCAAACCAAAGGAAATTTGAAAAGGGGTACAGTATCTCCAAAAAGGGAATATATATTCACCAACAGAAATCTCTATAGTGGCTTCAACCCACTTGACAGTGAATCATCTGAGACGAGCTTCTGATTAAAATCATGTTGGTGCTGGTTCCCACGACAGGACACAGTAACACACCAATAACGTGTAGTGCATGAGCTTCCCAACGGCCAGAATCCAGCGGCTTCCAAATCATTTTCCGACAAAGGCTACACAAGACACTGCGATCAATAGGCTTTTGGCATTCCCTGGATATGAGCCGTCTTAGACGACCACCAGGTTCAGCTACTGAAGAGCTACCAAAGAGTTACAAGCCAAAGCGCTTCGAACCGCAGCTCCCTTGGATGATCCAATTTGAAAGTTGGAATTCGATATAACAAACCTACAGACCACTGACTTCGAGGTAATGCCGAGCCCCCTCGGGCCCGGCGCTAAATGGTCCTTCGGCAGGTCTGGGGCAAGCTCGCAAAATGACGACAATCTGTTCGATTGACGCGGAAAATGTGTTGAATGTCGAACTACAAAGGTGGTACCTTGGCTTCGTGTCGAGTCGAAGCGGGGAACTGCAAGTTTTTTGGTGGCCCACCCACTGCTAGATGCCAGAGAGGGAAGGGAATCGGATGATCATCCATCTCTAGGTGATTTGCTAGCTGCTAGCCAAATCCTCATATTTTGTTCTTACTTCCAAGCGCGCAATGTGCCACGACCCCTTCTCGGCCAAATTCATGAGGTGAAATCCAGAGGTCAAGAAAGGAGAGGCTGCGCAATCAGCAAACCTTCAAGAACTTCAATCCCATTGGCCCATCCAAAGACAAAGTGGAAACGTTTGGAGAACAGGAGCCCTGCATCGTGACCATGATCTTCCGACTGGATGGCCAAGACACAGCTAGGAAGCCCAGCAGCGGCAATAGGAGCCAGGGGTAGGCACGGTTCGTGACTGATCCGGAGATTTCTCCAACCCTTAGTGTCCACCCCGGATTGATAAACCTTGAAAATTGGGGATGTAGAGTAGAGATGAGTAGAGATGAATTACTATGAAGATTGGTGCCTCCCTATGCATAAACTGACCATCTGGGTTCATCGTCAACATTAGCTTGAAAGTCGACAACTTAGCGGCCAAATTCCACAGTATCTCAGACCTCATGGGGACTCACCCCTAACCCACGGCCGCGTCAAGATACTACCTTTTTCGCAAGGCAAATATCATGTGTGAAAATGGCAATGGCATATGGTATATGATGGACACAAAGAACGCCGCGTTAAATTTGATGATGATGATGATGATGATGATGATGACTAATAACCATCCTCACAGAAGAAGAAACACAAATAACCAGCGCCGAAGATCAATGACTGGCACTCCTCAGGCTTCTCGGTTTTCATCTCCGGTGGGCCACAGGTGTAGTTGGGATCCACAGTGCAATTTCGAAGCCTCGCTGCGCTCGGCTCGGCAGCGCGACGTGCTTGGCTGGCAAGTCCCTTCAAGGGCAACCTTCACTTGCTACTACATAGCTCAAAGGATGGTATCCATAGTTGTTTGTGTGCTAACTGGGACGCACATCCAAGTTTGCTTTTGAAGTCATGAGCATTGATGACCCTTGTGGGAGTTCATCTCCCTAAATTACCTGAAAGATCCTGAAAGTAGAGGATGCAATGATGATGGTTCCCCGTCCAAAAAGAACGTGGCGGACATCATGACTCGGATCCTGGGTGGGCTCCCAAAAAGGCAGAACATGGCAGAACCCTAGTGAGGTTTTACCGTCAGGTCAAACCACCATCAACCTTCATTCATGTCACAAAGTTGACATAGATCTAGATATAGTCACAGTCATAGCCATAAATAGATAGATATAGATACTGAATGATACTGACCCCTCATAGATTTTGACCCCTTCTTTGAGGTAAGGGGTAACACACAACCCAGCCGTCAAGTTGCGGGAAGATGCGCAGGTGCTGCTCCTCTTCAGGATGATACCACTGGACGGACTGGTCCTTGTTGGTGGGTGCCTGCGTGGAGGCATATCGCCAGTAGCACTCGGCAATGTTGAACTGCACGGTCTCGAATCTCATCTGAGGCGGCTTGTCTTTCCAGAATGCAGGATTGGGTAAAATCATGGGAATATCATCGATCAGTGGAGAAAAAAGGAAATCCTCTGTAACTTGATGATTTCACTGGGAAAACCATCGATGCTCCCAGGGACCATCCCAGGTGCTAAGTTGGTGAAGCTGGGCTGATCCTTTCGGGATGTGATATGTTGATGTATCCATACAACCATGGATATCATGACTATAACTCCCCAAACCACTTCACACATGCCTGGGAACTCCCCTTAGTTGTCTGGGATCCCTTTCTGGCTCCCGGACATACTCCGCCGCCCAGTTCAGCATGATGGGAATCTCATCGCCCCAGGCGTTCTTCACGTTGATCTTCGAGTCCTCCTCCTCGGTTCTGTGCCGCGAGTCCGAGACCATGCCTTGGCCACGGCAGATGTTGGATGCTCTCTTTGCAAGTTGAGACAGTACTCGATCAAGAGGATGTTTCATGCTCTCGCAAAAGATCGATCCGTCTATCTTTATGCTTTCTTTCCGAAAGAACTTGTCTCGTTGTCTGTCTTTTTCTGACTGGAAATGTGGATAGTGGTCAGTCTTAGGATCTATTGGTTCACTCTCATCAATCCAAGTTCATCCAAGTCTAGACTCACATGTCACATGAGCCACTGTGTTAAAATAGCAACTCTTGGAACTTCTGAAACAAGACTCGTTTGAAGCCACCCTGAGGATGCAAGTGCCCCGCAAAAACGGCAATGGTCCGTGAGCCGGTGAGCACTTCCGAGTAGTAGTCGTGGCGAGCCACCTGAATGCTCCGAATGCAGCAAGTGATGCCTGGATCATCATCCAAATCAGGAAAATACTTTAAGTTCTTACCCACAAAAAGTGATTGGTTTCAAAATGGACGCAGCCAATGGCTTCTAAGTCTTCTAGTTGAAGGGCCTTAAAGTCTTAAAGGCCCTTGAGTACCTATGCGGCATGCCCACAGGAAGCGTGGGGCCACCGACCTGATTGAACCAGTGCTGATAACCAAAGTGGTCGGTCGCATCGTGCATGACCAAGACCAAGTACTCATCATTCTTCTCGGCCAGCTCAACCTGCAAGGCCAATTCTGGCCTCAAGGGATGACTAGGATATCACCTCCAAACTGACCAATAGCTTTTGATACTTTGAAGTCACTCACTGGGGATCCCTTGGTGACTTTGGCAATGGCTCCCCTGCCTGTTTCTTAAGGAAGCCCATCGTCGAAGCCACACCCGTCAATTCCACGCGGCGGAAGGTAGGATAGTTGTGCCTGCGCCACACCAATTCCATGGCCTCTTGAAAGGGGAAAATGTGGGAAAATGATGAGAAACCATGCGAAGGCGTTCCCAATTTTGAGTCAATCCATCAAACCAGTTGAGGGGATCTGGCATAGTCTTCAATGCCGCCGCGAAACAGCATTGCGAAACGAACGCGTCCATACTTCACCGCATAGGCTGCGGATTTCTTCTCGTAGTGATCAACGTGGCCTGCTCATCACGTGCAAAAAACTTGAGTTTCTTCTTGGAACTCATGACCACAGCTGCAAAAAATATCCAGATTCGGTCAACCTTCAACTGGCATTGTTTTTGTGACCAACTGTGATGCAGTTCCATATTGTTTCCGATTCCAAATTGACCGATTTGCAGCAGATTCCATCCACAAGAGTTGGATCTGCACCATCCTCCCCCTCCATCACCTCCAAAGTTTGGATGAACCTTGTGGCAACCGCATCCCGTCACTGCTGCGCGGATGTAGGCGAACATCCGTTGCGCACAGCTCCTGAGCTGAGGGTGGTCAAGCCACCAGTGGCCACTGGCAAGATCCACCATGTATATCATCCATCTGGTGCTGTCTGAAAATGGGGTATACCACCAAGTGGCCAATTTCATGGGGAAAGTGATGATAAACCACTAAGTTTGGGGGCACCCTCTTTGCACATAAACCCGCTTCTGGATGGTGAATCCATATCATTTACACCAGTTGTACATAAAGTTTTTTAGCTGGTTAATCTATCATCTGCATCCATCTCTACCCTTCAGTGAACTAACACGGCTATGGAAAACAACCATGTAGGTCAAGTTGGAGCATCTACTGTATCAATGGGTCGTCTATACCATAGCAACCTGTTGACCGGATGATACCCTCCGGTAACGTGGCTGGCTGCAAAATCCCCGATTTAGTTTCATGATTTTCCCAGCCAGAAACCTCCATGTTTAAGAGATGTGTATGTTGGTTAGTTGATGTTGGTTATATAAGTATAAGTATATAAGTTATATCTCACTAATATCCCATGATACTGTTGATGGTGGCGAAATCCTGCACCAGCTCGTAGATGGTTTATCCCCTTATAATCCCATTATCTACCGTGTTTCATATTTACCAAGAGATACCAAGAGTTGCCAACTGGTGCAAGATTTCTTCCATCCGCACTATGGTTTTCCGCCCAGCCGCTGGGTTTCATATGGAGCCCAGGTTGGCTCCTGATGAGGAAAGATTGCATGAGGGGTGCGACATGGAGACACAAAGCGTGAAAAAAAAATCAGAAACCAGCAACAATCCATCAAAAAGCCAACCGAAATCCATTAATAACCGTCAAATACCTTCAGAAAACAGCCAAGAGCGATCCAAATGCTGAAAGAAAACACCAAACTTTCATGATATCATTGGTATCATGGGATACTGAGTCACCAAGCTGGGCACCAAGAAATTTTGGAGGTGACCGACCAGTATACAGCGGCCTCTCAACAGAAACCATCCCCATCGCAATGGGAAACCCTGAGATCCAAAGATTAATCGGGGCCAAATGTGGGATTTTCAAGCCATGTTACTCTACCGGTGCTCCAAGAATCGGATGCTTTTTGACTACGGCAGTATTTCAGTATTTCACCCAAAGCTGGACCAATCGCTGTCTAAATTCCTGGCAACTTGGAATATCCCTGGACCCTGGTTTCATCTGCACCAGCCCACATGCAGCTAATTGTTCGGTCCTCTAGGCCGTAATCTGCGCAATGATTCCTTACACGGATCAGAAAGTTTTAGCTCCGCTGTGTCTGACATTCTATATAATTCTATGACTAATCCGTGAACCAAGGACCACTGCACAACTGATCTCCAGTCCCACCTTCGCAGAATGGGCCCTTTGGAAAGATGGGCGTTTCCAAGTGCCATGGCTTGTGGATCGGTTCACCCGAGATTTTTTTCGCTGGAAATGGGGGGACCCCAATTGTTTGCCATCATTGTTCCTCTTAAATCACTGTTTCTGGCATACCGATTTCCAGACAAAGTCAAATGGTGAAAATCATAGCTATTGACCCCACCCTCAACTGTTTCAGGGCAGGAATTTCCCTCCAAATCTCAGGTTGTTAAACACATCGTGGTTGCCAAGACCCGGCCACACCTGGATTGCCGGGGCAGCATGGGAAGTGGGATCACACCAAACGATTGGTAATTTCGTAGCGCGGAACGGTGTCAGAATTGAGAATTAGAAAGGACTTGAACCCACCAACTGGGTCCGTTGAAAACGTGAAAAGATAACAGAAAAGAAACAGAACATTCCGACGTCGACATTACACTGCATGCAGGCCAGAAACGCCCATCTTGATGTTCTTGTCCCTGTCTTCCTTGTCATTGGTCTCCCAGATCTTTCTGTACATATTCAGCTGCCATGGTTTCCCAAATGATGTCAGGTCACCTCAGTCGTTCCACACACTTATGCATAGAAGCATCATCATGATGGGAAAACTGTCCGACTTTCCCAGGTGTTCAGAATGTTCGCAACAGAACGAGTATCGCAGTATCGAACTAAGGCAGCCCAGCCTGCGAGGAAAACCCCAATGGGTTTGCCAACAGGCTCCTGGACATGGAGCATCCTTCGGATACCCCACAAGACCACTAGCCGTCACAAGCCACCAGGCAGCCACCGTTGTCAGGGAACATTTCGATTTCCTGAAGATACCTGAACAAATGTAGGATCCACGTTCAATTTTTAAAAAGAAAACTGTCTTCAGACGGCACAGTACCTCCAGTTTATTTAGGAGTAGTAACACCATCAATGGGCCATTGACATCCCCTGCCGGTTAATATAGCTATAGAAAATCAACATGTTTTTATTTTTGGGGCAGAATTATCGATTCTCATGGGCCATACCCAAACCGTAACGACCAGAGGGTACCTTGGCACATCCTTCCCGCCTTTCCCCGCAGTCCTTGTTTCCACTTGGCCAGGTCAAGGTCTCGATGCTGTGCATCGCACGGACCATGTTGTGATTGTCCTGGAGAAAGGAGCGGCAGCGAGAGAATCACACCCCCCCCATGTTGGATGTGAATACCCCCTGGTACTGGTAGTGTTGAAACCTCTCCAACAGGTTCATTATCTCAAGTTGCGGGAAAAAATAATTGAAACCACCAACCAGTAATACATGAAGTTCAGGGAAGGAACACTCCATTGTGAGCAGTTGAGTTGTTATGAAGCAGGTTGCCTCAATGCAAAGGCTTTCCAACACAATGAAATATGCGTCTTAATGTCGAGATATTTGTAGAGAGAGAGAGAGAGGTGTATGTATATATATATATATGTATGTGTGTGTACTACATATCTATGTATTAAGTATTGTGCTTTGAGCCATTTCTACTACTTGAGATCTTGCACAAAAAATGCTGCAGTCGACATCCGTCCTCTTTTGCACACTTCCTCAGAAAGGCAAATAAATCGTGTCATCAAGTTGGGGCCAACTAAATCAGTTTGTGGAAGCCAATCAGGAAGAGTTTTCGTGGAGTTCAACCTCTGGTGGTTGGGCTGGTGGTTTGGAATCCCAGAACTCTCCAGAGTATCATCCGTTAACCATTGGTTGAGCACTGGCTTTAAATTTTCTTGCGATGTAGCACGAAAATTCCCAAACTCAGCCCAGCTGTACAATGCAGCCCAGCTGTACAATGCAGCCCCGCTGTACTTCAACCCTTTTCTTCCCAGTGATATCCTTCGTTCAAAAATTGCAGTTTTGTTCTTTGGATGCCCATTCTTAGAGTCAATTCTCAAGGATCCTTGGTTTCAGCTCCGCACTTTCAAGTTGATGAAGAAGAAAAAAAGACGTGGTTCTTTCATAGTGATTCTACCTTCATCTTTTAACGCTTGTTTGGAAGTGCATCCTCAATGTTTTCAAATGGTTCATAGTACCATCGTTTCTAATCCTGTATGTGGAATATCCCCCAATTATCGCCTGTTACCCGTTGAAAACCCAATATGACCAGAAAGGGGTGCTATTTTTACCACCCTGAAGGGGAGTTGTTTTGTGGCATTTGATTTTCCAAGTTGTTTACATATCCCTTTATATGTCCAAATATATATATATACACCCCGTCATGGTTCGATATGTTTATTTGCTAAATCATTTGCTAAATCATTTGCTAAATCCGGTTAAATCCCTATTCCATATTTTTTCTGGTTAAATCATCATTCTTGGTGAAATTGTTCATTTTTTTCTGGTTAAATCCTTATTCTTACTGGTATAAAAACCCTTCTTTTCATTGGTCAAATCCCTATTTGACGTAGCACATCTGCCCAGCTGCTGCGATTTCTCGCTGTTCTTCCCTTCGTCCACGCAGCTTCCCCAAGGCAGCTGCACGTCGGAGCCCATCAGGACCTGTATCAGATTATCACTATTTGAGGAGTACCCCCCTTAATCAACAATGGTTTATGGAAAACCGGGGTTAACATAGCTTATTTGAATTTAGGAATATCATATGTTGGATTTTGGAATTTGGGTTTAGGTAAATTTAGAGAAAATTAATTGGAAATTTTAAATGTTGGTGATGGGTATATAGATATATTCATGTTTACATGCAAATTGCAGCTAGTACATGCCTAATTCATCTAGCAATGTAAAGCATGATATACTATAACCTACACTTCAAATAATATATATATATATACTGTATATGTATTACATTATATTACAGTGTACATTTAGACACTCATGGTCCATGGTATGCTCTATATATATATATGTACACAGAGCAAATTCGTACAGTATATAGAAAACATGAAATATAATCATCCCCGCGCATTTGTTTCTAGACTCGTTTTCATTCGTTTCTTGATATACCCACCAAACATCTATTATGTGCCGTACAATGGGTGCCGTGGCTTTTCTGAGTCAGGAAGTCACACACCGGCATTTTTTGGCAATGTCGACCTGTGGAGCCATTGATTTGCTGCAGTTGCCCCCAAACCCAAATGGTGGATTTGGGTTGCGAGGGCATGTCTATTATATTAATACGTATAGATATAGATACCCGTACTGCAGTGCGTATGTCTCGCCCTCTACTTGTATGCAAGATCAAACGATGACTATACCCAAATGTACGACTTGATACGACTTGTCCGGAACATGACAACCTTGCAAGGCTTCAGAAAATTGTGCTCCGTTTTGGTACTGCCACGTCACTGTGAAGTCACGATTGCCATTGTCTGCCACGCTCCCAGGGCCAAAGGAATCCTTGGATAAATGATCTCAACCAAAAAAATCCAGATGAACACAAAGTATGCCCATTATACAATTATTCATGCATCATCATCGCTTTCAACAGCCTCACTCCCAAAAATCCATCAATATGTCGTGCTGACGAAGGCTGATATGTTGTGAGGATTCAGTGTTGTTTCAGGGAACCCACGGGGGACCCAAGGATCCAGGTACCAACGGCTACAAGTGCTGGACTTAAGATGACTTAAGTGCGTTGGAATGTTCAACTCCCATGTCGGTTTTTCCGAGACTTTTCTTGAATTTTCTTGAGAGCTTTCTGCACATGTTTGACTTGCCACTGCCCAACTGGCGCTGCACAGGCTCCCCAAGCTTGCATTCCTCTGGCGGCGCCACACTGCGCTTGTACGTCTTCTGGCAGCGGGAGCTGGACAACACCGGTCTTTTTTCGGTCTAGATTCAGTAGGAATCCCGCCACAAAACGTTTGAAGGTCATACCTCACCGCCATAGATTGTACAGAAGGGATTTACCTGTCTCTCTGGGGGGCCCCCTAAGCATTCTGAAGTCACCCACCGTGACAGCCCTGTCCCACGCCCAAAGGACCCTGGTCTTGGTGTTGGCGTTCAGACCATCCTTCTTGCAGATCAGGCCCACCTGGCGCATGTCACCAGGGACATGACTCCAGAACTTGGATCTTCTGGTCCTCAAATGAGGTTTAGTTTAGAGATGTTTAGAGTCCTTTACAGACTTCTTAAGTTGACATTTCATGACATTCGATGCAATCCTGACGCCGCAACAACGCACTTTTGAACACTTTTGAACACTTTTGAACACAACATGGGCCCGAGCCGCCTCCGTCCAACCCTTGCCGCATCCCTTCTCAACACACTGGTTTCCAAGATCCTGAGGATATCGCAGCAAATGCATCCGTGAAAACAGCTGAAACCAAACAGACTTGAAAAAACAAACTGCAAGAACAGGACAAATATGCTCCACTTCGGCCTAAAACACATGGATACTGTATCATGTCCGGGATTGACCATCAGACTTCCGCTGCACCTCCCACCCGTCGGCGCAGTAATCATAGCACAGCCCGAGGGAATAGTATCTGCCTTTGGTGCACATAATCACCTGGCCACCAAAGGCTGTCATGGAGTGGCAAAATACCCTAGGTGCCCTAGGTGCTGGCAAAGATGTAGGATTGGCAAAATGATTATCGTATATACAATGTCAGACATGACCCGACCCTGGGCCACGCGAACAACCATCTAATGGTGGCATGGATAAGGGCCAAGATTGGATAGCTTCTTCTATGCTCCAAGAAAATGCAATGCAGTATATAAACCCTGCGATACTCAATCCCAAATTGGGGTCTATTGTTGTTATATAGGTATACTTGTGTTTGAGATGATGCAAAATGATCCCAAAATGGCTGGTTACTGGGGTCCAGAATCTCTCTATGGCAGGTTGCCCAAATTACAAGAAAAATGACCAGTCAACCACTCCCTTCAGGATGCGATGTTGCGCCGTTGTGCCTTGCCGTCCATCTGCGGATTGTAAATCCCGGGCACGGGAGACTCATCTGTCACGTCACCCAGGTCGTCGTCCGCATTGTTTGCAGCCTGGGGGGATAGCTTCATGGAGATGTTATGCCCAAAACATACCAATTCCATCCAATTCCAAGGCGTTTTAGAAGTCGTACGACTTGTAACCCCACTTATTTCAGAGCATCCAACTTTGCGGATTTGCTCTCCATCGCCCTGCACCAAGTAAACCCCTCCGCACCATGGCAACCCCTCCGCACCATGGCAACGGTCGCCAGGGTCAAAACGCCGGTGCACCGGAGCAGAGCACGCATGGCGGGCGAAAAAGCTCAGGGCCCAAAGGGATCATCAACCACCAAGGATCACTAAGCAAAGATCACTAAAGATCTGGAAGATTCTGGAAGATGGATAGCAACCTTTCTCTCTGTGTGATCATTTCTGCGCATTTTCTACTGCCACACAAGACTGCCGGATGCTTGAGCCAACTATGCTGGACACACATACGCAGATACACATCATAAACACATCTTTGCATAGATGTGTATAGATATACATCATATACAACTGTGCGCATTTGTATGTGAGTATATGCTTGATTGATCTTACTTATTTCACTATGGTGTACATTGTCGTCAAGGCTTTTGGAGAGCCATGGTGACCCATGCACCACCTCATCCAGGAAGCAGCGAACAAGCATGCGGCCGTACAGGTAATAGTCTTCTGCCTGCGAAGTTGCAAAGAGAGCCCCTTTCTTGGAGCAATCCCTACACCCAGTCGGGAAAGTCAGTGCACCGTCTGTTTGAAAACAAATCACAATGGGACGCTGCGCATTCAGGAAGTCACAGAAGTCAGTGCAAAATTATGAAAATCGGCATGGGACGCTGTGCGCCAGCAATCATCTATTTCATTTCATGTTCGGTGTTTTTTATGGCTTGTGGACGCTGCACCTATGCAGTCATTGGTTTAGGTTGTTTTGAATGATTTTGTTGAAAAACGCAATGGGACGCAAGTTTCACCACAACCACATCTCCAAATTTCAAAAGGGGAAAACCCAACACAATCCAATTCCCAATGGAACTGACACATTAGGGAAATTCCGAACCTACAAGAATGCAGGTAAAAATATCAATGTTCCAAAACATGTCTTCCAAAACACCACCTGGACGCAGCACGCACCGACTTCCAGAAATCTTTCCCCCCAGCTAAACGCAACAAAGCAAGTGAACGCATTGAGTTTCCAAATGGGGTGTATGCCTTCATGAAACCAATATTATAGGTACATAATTCATGTTGGGGTCACATATAGGGCCTAGTTCACGAAGAAGGGGAAAGGGATCCCTGTTGCGTGTCAAGCGCTCCAGTGCTTGTTCTGCATTCCCAAGTCGAACCAAGTCATTCACAAACCTTTATCATGAGTTTTTAGCATCACGAGATATGTGCACCCACATTTTAGCCGAAATGTGTGGTGTATATAAACAGTGTAAACCGTTCCAAACTGAAGGTCTATCATTCTGGGTTTACCACACTAACAGCTATTCTTTTCCAACCTGAGAGGCATTCTTTTCCAACCTGCCAGGCCATTTCCCACCTCCAAGCGGGTGAAGAGGATCAAGTTCCTGCGGTGATTGCTGAAGTCCGCGATACATCGATCCACTGTACTGTCCGAAGGAACATAGGCCTCACAGCCCCCGGACACGGCCCTCAAACACAGTTGAGGCAAGGTTCAAGTGCTTCCGGTCAGCACAAACATGATCGGACAGAGTGGGACATTCATGTCAGGTCAAGGGCTTTTTGGTTTTGGTGCTGGGCAGCACACTCAACTTCTCTCAACAATGCGAGCTTTGGTAGCCATACTCAGCTCCACTGCAGGAATTTGCCTGACATCCATGTACATTGCTCGCCTTTGAAATTTTCCATCTCCGGGGCTAGTGTCAACCAGGAATGCAAAACTGCTGGGTGGTTCAATTGCTCTCAGTCCCAAATGAAACTGGCGGCTTTTGGGGGGATGATGCCCCGATTGAACCAACCGGTGTTCATTCATCTGGGGGTTACAATCCGTGGATCTATATCTGGCCTCACTTCCAGTGTGATGCTGTCATCTTCCACAGTCCCCTTCCCCCAACAAATACACAACCCCCTCCCGTTGAGCGGTGGAGTTGTTCGTATTGTGGTCCCACATTCAGACCGCACCCAGAGCAGTGTGCCTGTTGTGGGATCGGTATAGCCTGGCGAGACAAAGTCCTACCCCAACCAAATCAGTGGAGAAAAGTTGGAATGCCAATCAACACAGGTTTTTGTTCACCCGAATCGTTGATGTTTAAATTCCACCGCGTTTCTGTAGAGTCATTTCCTGCCTTTCCAACTGGGTATAGCATAATATAGTATATATATATGTATATATATATATATATATATGCACCAGGCCCTGCCACCCCCCCTCCCCCCCCTGGGATGGGTCCCATATACTGGCCCCATATGAGATCTTCCCCCTCCCCCCCTGTTGTGTGGTGGGGGTGTGGCACTGTCCCCCTCCCCCCCTGTGGTGTGGTGGGGGTGTGGTATGGTTTGTTGGGTATGTATGGTGTGTATGGTCGGTCTGGTATGGCATGTTTGGAAAGTATGGTATGTTTGGTATGTATGGTAGGTATGGTATGTATGGCATGAGTGGTTGGTATTGTATGGATGGTAGGTATGGTATGTAAATCTGTTGGGCATGGTATGTTTGATATGACAGTATATATGGTCTGTATGGTATGTATGGTTACTATGAGGTATGGTATGCATGGCATCATTGACATGTATGGTAGGTACGGTATAGGTTAAACACAGGTAGTGTTGTCAGAGTACACAAGTAGTAAATAGGAAGTAGATACAGTAGATACATAGCACATGTATGTATGACTATAGGTAGCACGTAGGTACTTTGAAGGAGTATGTGTGCTACGTAGGTTGCCTAAAAGGTAGCATGTACCTAGTAAATGCGAGGCTGGTAGTCAGAAATGCTGCAAAGACCTAGCAAATACGAAGCTGGACCTCAGAAATGCTGCCAATAGCTTGCAAATAGAAGGGAATTGGGGCTGCTACCTGGGGACCCAACCCATGGGTGGGGTGGAGAGACGGAGGACGGGACCATATATTAATATATATATATATGTATATATATACATGGGCTGCCTTCACGACAGGAACAAAAACGAGATGGAACCATTGAACCGAGCCACTGTGAAGGGCACCATGCCACGGCCATTTGGCGACGGCCCATCTTGAAAGGAACCTGAACAGAAGGCGTTTCTGACGGCGGTCATTGGAAAGGCCCTGGAAGCCGCGAACTGCACCTCTCAGATCTTCCAACTCAGCCTGGAGCCTGTCACTGCATCCCCATTGGGATAATGTTCATCTCAGAAATCATTGACAACAACAATAGGCTGGTTTAGAGCTTTGATGTCAAAAATGGATAGGTTTCAGATCACCAAAAAGATGCTGATGGAATCAATGAAAAGCCCAGGGAACTGGAGAACCAGTGGTCGGTAATGATGGGCGCAACTGAGAGTTGAACCCTGGCTAGCAGGAACATGCGAATATGCTCTTATCAATAGAAATGCATATGTGCATATATATATACCGCATACACTGACATTTCGTGTGTGCGTGTGTGCGCAAAAGAAAATGCATGTAAAATTGTGCAAATACATAATACATCCTATGTGTAGACATATGTGAATATATATATATATTATATATATATATAACTATGTGTGTGTGTGCTGTCAGTGAAATAATGTTGATGTGAATGTTGACGCGCATGTGCACGTAATCAAAAACTATCTGTAGTATGAGAGGGTGCCCCTTGTTGTTGTTCGTGTACCTACCTGTTTAGCCTGTTTAGCTATTCACTTATTGATATCTCATCCAGCGGTAGGCAGATTTACTCATTTATCTCCTCATTGTTCTTCCACTTGTTGATGAATGTATTTATTTGACATTCACTTGTTTGATCTTGATTGAGCATTTACGGACATGTCTGGAGAGTATCTTAATCTTGGCAAGTCATCTTGAGCAAACTACATCTCTTGGCACTCCAAATGCCCAACCACTCCAAGTCCCCACTACACAAGCATGCCGAGGTTTGCTGGCGAATGACTTCGTCCTAGCAGGACAAAATCATGGATCATCAAACAGTCAAGTACAGCATCTGCCATTTCCACAGTGCAACAAAGGAAAGTCTCTCAGAATCCCTGCACGTCTCCAAGATGTTCCAAATTTCGATCCTCAAATCTGCTCAGTCTTTCAAATTTGGTGTTTGATCCAAGTCTTCATAGCTTTCCCTGGGTCACCTCAAGGTACTCATGGAATCCCCAAGCTGGCAGCTTCCCAGCTTCCCAGCCTTCATGGAAATGACTTCGGTGGCCGTCTCGGCCAAACCCAACTTTTCGCCCAGCGAACGGATGATGCCATCCTGAAATGGCAGGTTCTCATCACATGGGGAAACCAACAACCAAGCCTTGGAAGATGGTGAAGATAGGTGAAGATACCTATGATGATACCAGCAGAATGGTCCCAGAGGTAAGATGGTGAAACCTCCTGAGGCTCTCTAGGACCAGTTCTGAGCAAGTTGCAAACTGTTGACCGTCCATTTTCATATCCAAGGACTGGACTCATATGTCATAATCCAATGTTTGAAGGGTTCCTCCAGCTCACGGACCCCCTATCGCAGTGTCACTGGAGTGCTTTTTGGGTGCCCTGGGGCCTTCATGGCTATCACCTGTCGCAGTTCATGAATCTCATCATCTCGGTGCAACAGCGCCTCCTGCACGATCTGTGTGGATTTGTTTTCCCACTGTAACATGATTATTTCGTTTCAGCACTCAGGATCTCACTTCCAGCAGTTTTCACTTACCTTGAGTCATATCAATCAAACAGTCCCGGCCCATGGTTGACCTTGGACACCCCCAAGCTCACAATGGACGTTTACCATCCGACAATCAACATGACCTCCTGGAAAATCCCATATTTAAAGATGATTTTCCCAGCTAGCCATGCTTGATGACACCGTTCACCACCGTTCACCCCTTCGACTCCTTCAAGGGAGAGGGATCCACGCGCAGCTTCTGGCCTTGAACCATTGCTGGCAACTGGAATTCCTCATTGTGGAGGCAAATTGATATAAGTGATCTACATACAAATCGAGAATGTTGCAAGACCTTGTCAGGTTTTGGGAGGCATCCTCGAATCCTCCACTCATCTTGGCAGTACAGTTTCCGCACCGTTTGAACAGACCCATCCGGACCTGACCTGTGGCCCGGGTCAATGCAGTTTCTGCCGCCATGGTCGCCATGGCTCTAGCCGATTCTAGCCGCCCCTGAATGGGTTGGGTCAAGAAAATTCCTTGTCAAGGCTTGGGGAAGGAGGCTGATGGTGCAATTGAAATTTCAAAATCATTTAAATGTTGCCATGTGCAGGCTCCATGGTGCTTGTACGGGAGGAGCAGCAGTTGTTTCACCACCATCACGCAAACCCAGGTCTGATCACTACATTTCTAGGGGGATGGCCGCAATCTTCCCGGTAGCACACCCTTGCAATTTATAGAAAATTCAACCCACCAAAAATTGGAATCCAAGGAGAAATCATCTTGCGGCGCCCCAAGGGCTCCAAGCTGAAATTTCACTGGAGTTGAGATCCTCCTCTGATATCTGATTGGCGAAGACAGCCAAGGACCATTTTCTCGGTAGCTGAAGGACAGGTCGCATTCTCAGTGGCAGCACATCACATCAGCCACGCATCTTCCATGACCTCCTTCTTGGAGGCTGACTGATCTATGGCAAACCAACCGAGCCGCGCCCATAACAATTTTTGCATCCCCTTCGATGTGTTGATCAAGCCATGGTCCCACCCAAGGCTGCCACAATTCCAAGCATAACCCATCAGTCGAAGCTGGGCACGCTGGATTGCCTCCCTAAGCCTAGCTGACTCGCAGAAGCAAATGAAACCCCTCAGGCGTCTCGAAGGGTTCAGAAATTTCACCCACGGCCAGAGAGAAGCCCACCTCCTGTGCAGATGAAACATATTCCCAGCACAACCCATGGGAGTTTCAAGTGGTGTCTCAAATCTATATATTCGTGACCATGGCCTAAACGAAGATCGCATGAAACTCAAAATTGGAGGGCCAACGTGCTGGTACCGAACCATCAAATTTTGCTCGTCCCCAAGGTGATCAACTAATATAGACATATGAAAAACACGGCACCATTATTCTCACCAATTGCGAGAAGCTTTGTTTCCCCTCGTCGAATCCATGCAAATCTAATGGAGTCTATCTGTGTATCCCCAAACCCAATTGTTTACTATCATTGTCCCCTTAAAATTGCCTTAAATTGCGCTATACCCCATTTCTGGACAAATCATGACAAACCCATATCCCGAAGTTGCTCATCCCACAATATCTAAGCAAAATCTCCACATAAAATGCTCTCCTTATCCCAGGATATCAAAAATATATTTCCCGCATCATGAAAAATATCTCCCCTACCAGCCCCAATATCCCACAATCTCCCATTCCCATAAACCCTTCCGTCCCATAGTAAAAATTGCCATCGCCGGCCCAGCCATGGATGGGGGCTCCTCCAGCTGAGCCTCCAAGGCCCCCAGCGCCACCTTCCCCAGGTCCCCCGCTGTGGTGCCAGCGCAGGGGTCATCGCTGGTCTCCCGCGCAAAGGCCGCGAAGCTGCGCTGCTGCGACGGGAGATCCGGGTTCATCACCAGCCTGAGCCACTGATGGTGGGGGTGATGATGGGACGTCTCTGGTGCTTAACTGAATCTGGAAGATAATTCAAATATAATGCCCGAAAATATGTGGGATGATTGTAGTGCACATGTAAATTCACATATGTATATATATATATATATCTGTGTGTGTGATTACTAAAAACCTTTGTAGATGAACAAGGTCCAAAATCTTGACAGCACAAGCTGGTGCTTTCACTGTTTGCATCCAAGGGTCTTCTTGCGAATGTTGGCCAAAGCCAACTTCGCTCGACCTTTGCTTGCCTGGAGTCTGGAAGGGGCACATTCTCCAAGTTCAGCTGGATCATCCCAAGACTTGCAACTGGGCATTATTTCACGGCCAACCAACCGAGTACTATGTCAAATAAGCCCAGTGTTGGGGTTTCACCTAAAAGTCCAACAAAGAGCGAGTTGCCTCACTGGAAGTGGAAACCTCACCTTCATGACATGATGATTTGCGAAGTTCTGCTCCCATCAGTGCTGCAGCACCGAAGCTCTGTATGCAAAAATTTACTGCAACGTGCCCAACAGTCCTTGAAGCAAATATGACAAGTGAGTCCGAATTTGGACTTCTGCCCAAAAGGAACATCTCCTGAAAAGAAAGTATGAGCTTCGCTTCTTTCACCTAAGATTTCTTCTTAGTTTTTTCATGACTTGCAAGACCCACATCCCTTTGCAAAGAAGCCTCTACAACCCCTGCCTTCACCTCTTTGCCAGTGGCATCTCTGGGATCTTTACCTACCATGGGTTTGCTGAGGGATATATCAGCTGGACTCTGGCCATCAGAAAAGGCCGGAAATGCCCAAGAGTTGGTCTGGTTGCAAGGGAAACCAGGAAACCCATGCTTGCCACTTTTTAGAGTGCCCAGACTTGAGCGGAAAATGCAAGAATCTGCCAAAACAAGTTTTGCTGTCCAGAATGGGGAACGGTTTCGTATACCTATTTTTCCCACACCCATTGATCGATCGCCCCGTGTTTTTTTGCAACAAATCTTTGGACACAACTTAGGATGCGTCAGAACCAGTAAAAGGCAATGAACCTAATGGACCAATGATCCCATCGTTTGGGAACATGAACATCCATATCACCCATCAAATCCAAACAACTACTACCAGTTACTGTAAACATATTTCTGATCTTTGTATTGTACTAACAAATATATGTATATACATATATACACCGTATAGATAGTCACCCCCAACAAAAGTCAGTAATAGAGGTGAATTTAACCCTATTATGCAATTTGGGTTGAGTATATACCCAACAATTTTCCAGTCAATCTCCCATAAAATGGTTTCAAAAAACAGTAATAGATGGGGAAAACATCGCCAATCATCCCCATCTATAAATCTGGTTGCTATTTGCTGGTATCCTAGTAGTAGCATTTAATACACCAGTAAATATCCCCATATTCTATATCAATGGTAATATTCATCAACCATCATGAAAATGATCTATTGGCTATATTACATATACATAATATATATATATATACATAGTGTGTATATATATATACTGTATTATATATATAATATGATATATTCTATATGATATATTCTATATGATATATTATATATGATATATCATATATGATATATTATATGTGATATATTATATATGAGATATTATATATGATATATTATATATAATATATTATATATTGTATTATATATATTGCATATTATATGTATTATATATATTATATATTATATATTATATATTATATATTATATATTATATATTATATATTATATATTATATAGTATATAGTATATAGTATATATTATATAGTATATAGTATATATTATATATTATATATTATATAGTATATAGTATATATTGTATATTATATATTATATATTATATATTATATATTATATATTATATATTATATAGTATATAGTATATAGTATATATTATATAGTATATAGTATATATTATATATTATATATTATATAGTATATAGTATATATTGTATATTATATATTATATATTGTATATTATATATTATATATTGTATATTATATTAGATTATATATATTACATATATTACATATTATATATTTATATTATAGATATTATATATATATACTGTATATTATATATACTATATATTATCCATACTATATATTATATATACTATATATTATGTATACTATATATTATGTATACTATATATTATGTATACTATATATTATGTATACTATATCTTATATATACTATATATTATATATACTATATATTATATATACTATATATTTTATATATTATATATACTATATATTATATATACTATATATTATATATTATGTATACATTGTATTATATATACTATATATTATATATACTATATATTATATATACTATATATTATATATACTATATATTATATGTACTATATATTATATATTATGTATACATTGTATTATATATATTATATACATAATATGTTATATATATTATATATATTACATTATATTATATATATATATTGTATTATATATATATCTATTATATATATATTATTTATATATATATTATATATATATATTATATATATTATATTATATATATATATTATATTGATTGTTATTATTATTTTTTTATTAAATTATTATTATATATAGATTATATTATATATACATTATATTATATTATATTTATATTATATTATATATTACATTGTATATGATGAAATATATTATATATCATATATATATATATCATATATATATATCATATATATATATTATATTATATATATTATATATATTATATATATTATATATATTATATATATTATATATATTATATATATTATATATATTATATATATTATATATTATATATATATTATATTATATATATATTATATTATATGTACATTGTATTATATATATACTATTATTTATATATATATATCTATTTGAGGACTGTGAAAACCCCTATGTCTGATGGAGTTCACAATGGTGAACACTTCTAGGGGGAAGGGGTTTAACGTGGCAATCCAAATAATAGACTTAATACACCATCCCCCAATGACCCGCAGTGGGGATGGTTTATGGCATTGGCTGCACCGCATTATCCCACTTCAAATTCAAATCCTCATTGTTGATGGCTAATCCCCTGATTCTACTAATAGTTGTCATTTTATGAAATGTTCAAAGAGTCACAGTTCATTATTGCTCTTACCTTATATTCAATAATAATCATCCACTTTTCACATCCCAATACCTTTTTGTATGGGCTTCACCATGCTAAACACCCCACAGGGGCGAAGGTTGATTCGCCAAGCGGCTCCCGGAGTGTTTCTTGATGATCTGCAGCAACTGCACCTCGGCCACCTCGGCCTTGCGCCGCTTGGCCGGGCGATCGCCCAAACCGGGGCCGGCCAAGTCCTGGCCGTCCAAGGGACAAAGGTCAGAAAATGTGGGGAAAAGGTTGGGAAAATGTGGGGAAAAAAACATCTTTGAAAGTCTTTCAAAGTTTCAAAGCCCATTTTTAGGGGGTTCCATGGTAGTTTTCAGGTGCGAAACTGAAAGCCAATGACTAATACAGTATCTGACGGATCGTCGAAAATGTGTTGACATGGGATTAACCAGCACACAAATCTACTCAACGAGGATGCAGAGCGAAATCCGTCGACCAAGATGGGAGGGACTAAGATCCCACCCGCGACAAGGTCCTCGCTGATGGCAGCAGCCCCTGAACCTTTGATCTCCTTGGCAACATTTATCTTTATACAACCAGTTCTTGGGCTTCGCGTCTTCAGGATCACTTCTTACATTGTTGGAGTGAAACTCATTTCCAAAACTTCACCAAATCATGATTTCCGGAAGCTTCATGCAAAGCTGATGCGTGGTGCACGCGTGCACATGCGTGCACATAGTGTCAACATGCCAAGACTCTCCACAGTCATCGATCATCGCGGTCCCACCAGGCTCGGAACCGCCACAGCTCTCCACACGCCTTCCATGGGAAATAAATGCCCTACTGGGATAATGCCTGGCATTGGGATCCATATTTAGTTAAACTATGATATAAAAAGATATCTATTTACTTGTTACCGAAAAACAATTCTTTAAATATTTATACGCACACATATATATATATATATATAGAGTGTGTGTGTGTGCGTTTATTTATTCATTTGTATATTTATCTATATTATATGCATATATGCATACATATCCATAGTGTCTAGCGTGCCATTACAGTAATCCCAGTCCCAGCTGCCTCGCAACGTCCATGCCATCGATGACGCGGCCGAAGACGCAGTGCTTGCCATCCAAATGGGGGCACGCCTGACGACATGGCAGGTCAAAACACATGGAAGCCCTGGTGAACCTCAGTAATCCCATCCCCCTAATATGAAAAACCCCCGGAACAATTTAAGTAAGGAGTGTTTAGTATTATATATAATATAATATATATATATATAGGGGATGGGCTGGTAGTGCTGCCAGATATGGATCTTCATCCCAAATGATCCAAAAAGACACTGGGATGATGGGTCAAAAGACCGCCACATGGGAAATGTTCGTTTTAGTCTCCAATATTCCTCCAGGAAAAGGAGCTAGAAATCAGGGTGGATCTTCCCATACCAAGTGAGACATCACTACAGCGAAAGATCCAGGCGTGTGAATTAGGGAAAGTATCAGAAGCCCAAACCACCAACATTGCCCGAAATTGGAGGTAACTAGTGCTTGACCCTGGCCCAGCATCAAGGGCAGGCACCTTCATACAAACGAAGAACTGGGATGAGTTCGTGTCCTGTTTTTCCCAAGGAGCTGCATTCTTGAAAGCTCCGACAGCTTCACTTGCACTCTCCATGGATGGCAAAATCACATCAGCATCGCACCTTACCACTGTTGGCCATGCTGAGTAGCCCAGGGGCAGTGTGCTTCAGGTTCCTGAGCTCTGGCTCTGTCGCTGCTTGCGCGGCAGCTGGGTCAGCTGGGTGGTTCCATGAGTAATATGGGTATCATTGTACAATATTATACTTGTAGTAGCGATTCGTCCATGTATAACCGTATTCCGTTTTTATACGTATATATACCTATACGCACAGATATATATATATATATATACACATTATATATACAGTATATACATACATGTGTGTGTGTGAATATGTTGTCTTTTCTGCACGCTTTAGACATCCAAGCATTTAATACCTTATTTTTGCATATACGCAAATCTACAATTTCAAATCGTAGGCGACTGCAAGACATGCTGACATGTTCATCCAATGAGTAAGATCACACTCTTTTCTGCAACAGGTGCAGGGAAGGCCCTACAAGTCCGGCAGTTTGACGGGCCTTGAGCAGCAAAATGGGACACCATCATGCCCGCATAAGAAAAGGGACCTGTTCCACTCACCTGAAGGAATTTGTTTGCAAATTTAACCCACATAACCCTCCTGCCAAAAGATGTTGGATTCCTCTCGGTAGCCCTGCAACGCCGCCCTGCAGTTTGGCATCAAATTCTCATCTGGAAAGGTTGGTCCATAGACAGATTCTCCACCTGTACCATCACCTCGGTCGGCTGTATCTTGGCATTGGATCATTGTTTTTAAAGCAGAACGCGGTCACCATCTTTGGGCGTTTGCACCTTGGTTTTTTGGGAGTCTTCTCCGGATATATTGTGTTCCATCTTGATGCATCTCATTTTTCCTGAAAACGTCGTTCAAATCTTGACTGCTCCTGCCTATCCATCAAACCCCACCGCGTCACCCCCCCAGCTGCACTTGTCCCAGCTGCCATGGGTGAAGTCGCCCGCTTGGATGACAAAGTTCGGCACAATCCGATGGAATTTCACACCTAACAGTTGCACTGCCACGGAGGTTGAGTCGTATTGAGTCTGGTCTCGGGATGGGGTTGTATGGTTGCTGTGGCTGATTCACAAATAGAAACCAAATGAATTTGATGCTCTCCGCAGGAGGTCATAGACTGGCTAGTCACAAGTCATTACTTTCACGCGAAGACCAGCCCAACCCGGAATAATCCCGATGCTCGCAAACATCCCCATGTGCCTTTGTAGTGTAACGGCTTCCCTGCCAAAGGGATGCTAAACGGAATGCATCAAACACGGCGTGTGTTTGAGTTTGTACTGACAAGGGGCAGTACCCACAAATGCGTCGCCAAGGTTGCTTGCAGATCTGTCAGCTGCCACAACCCAATTGACTGAATCCAGTGTCATTAAAGCCTTCGAGGTGTGAATTTGTTTACGCCCGCAACATCCTAGACATTCTGCGGGTAAAATGACCCGTAAGGAGATAGAAAAATACTTAAAATCCCGATTTTTTCCCGAAAGATATGGGACACAAAATTAAATCCCTGTTTCTGTTGGTCTGTTGTTGGTTTACTTTTATATCTTTTACTGGACCCCAATAGATGAAGCTGGAATTCAACTGGTCTGCACAGGCCCTGCCTCGCTTTCCCACACCCCTAGCGCCGGTGCACAGCAACCGAAAGTTCTCAGCGGTTTTGGGCACAACATCGTTGAAGAGCTCGCACACCTTGGCAGCAATGGTGGCTGATGATAATCATGCAGCTGAAGCAGCAAATTAGTTTTTGTTTTAGGGGGTCATTAGAGTTATCCAGTCAAAATTTAATTTGTTTACTGTTTCGAAAATCTGTACCTGCATCATGCATCTCTTAGCTGGATCCTTCTAAAACAAACATATACACATACTCCACGCCTTAAATTCCCGCCACGCGCACTGGGGAAACCCGAGTTGCAATGCGCCCAACCGGCATGGCATCGATGGCGATGTCCAAATACACTCGGGGTCTGCCAGCTATATCTGGAACCACCTCGCTATGACACAGAAAACTTGCAGAATGAAACACGATAATATAATGTTCATGGTTTTCTTGACAACATGGACGCTCAAAAAAATTATTGGCATCTCTTGTCTGGGATTGGGATTGCTCAGTAAGGTGATCCTCCCAGTTGATAATTTGTCGGCAACATAGTTGATAGAGTCCTTGGGCGCGGTACCCGCATTTTACACCAACGCCCGTGATAATCCAAACAATTTAATCCATGACTGTACATCCCTGTCTATTGCCGGTGGCGGATGAGGCACATCCGTCCGCTCTCTGTGTTTCGTGAAGGAGGCACCGATATCCTGCAGGAACATCAACAACAGACTTGGCAGTGCCCAGAACTCTGCGCCTTCACAAGTGGATTACGGAAGTGGACTGTAATGAGCTTCGTTGTGGCATCCCATCAAACCATCAGCCGACCAAGGTTTTGGGGCACCATTCGCACTGGAATCTCCGGCCTTGTTGCCAATCTTCCAGCCTGCAGGTGCTGGTTTGATGATGTTGATGGTATGGGGAAAAAATCTAACAACCTGATTCCATCTCCGATCCCACCATGTCCCACCATGTCCCACCAAGGTGATGAAAATTGGAAGCTGCATCACACATGTCGGTGCTCACCCAACCCAATATCAATCAAAGCGATTCCTTCTGCCCTTCCCGCCCATGGACCATCTGCAATCAGCCTAAGTTTTCGCGGCCACTGGATGGCATTGCTGCCTCTGCCACTAAGTGGTTTGCCCAGCTGTGTTAGTTCTGCCCTTGTAAATGTTTTCGCTAGGATGGGTTCGGACAGCATGAAACCGCCATTTGGGGCCAACCTATGGATGCGGCGCAGTGAACCAAAGTGATTACATGAACCGATCAAGGATTCAGGATCAAAATATCACCGCACCAGAGTTGGTGAAACACGTCTCCCATGTCCGAAGGGTACAAAACATTTTTCTTCTCATGGCAAATAAAAAATGACATGTGGTCGAAATAACCATGGTGTCGAGGTGTCAATGATTGTTCATGTCAGGTGCCATGTGTCCACATTTTTTCAAAGCCCAATATAGCTACAAAAGAGCGAGCATGACATAGCCCTGAACATGGTATAGTTTGCAATATTCCAACTGTCATGTTTGATTCAAATGCATATTTGTTTTGGGAATATTGAATGCCACAATGCCACATGCCTGGCCGCCTATTGGCCCGCACCGCAAACTAAATTCCTATGATGCACGGTGACGGTTACAGCCTTCGAACGATCATAGGCAAGTTTTTCACCTTAATATCCGAATGGTTTTGACACACACTTGCGGTGCAACATGATCCACCAAGAAAATGAAACAGTCAATGCAATAAACCGCTTCCAAGAACTGACATTTGCAAACTTCGCAACAAACAACACGATTGGTTAAGATTCGTTTGTGACATTGTAAACGAACGCAATACAGTCGAGGGCTGAAGTCAGAGCAATTTTCTTGAATGTGGAAAAACCGCTTGCGGAAAAGTCGCCACGACCGGGTCACAGCAGGGTCACAGCAATCCATCAAAACACAAGGGGATTGCCTTCATTTGAAGGATACAAAGTACCATTATAACAAACACGAGAGAACCCACCCCTCGCACTGCAGACTACTCTTCTGCCAGCACTGCTTTGCATTACAAACAATCATTCTGCCACAATGGTTTGATTTGAGAAGGGGTAAGACTGAGTGAACAAAGGAAACAATGAAAAGAGAAGAAGTAACAGCTGTGAGAAAGAAAGAGAAGAAGATAAAAAGAACAAACAAAGAACACAAATGAAAACAAGTGCTGAAAATACAACCGAACGACCCCCCGAACGACCCCCGAACGACATCGAACGACCCCCCGAACGACCCCTGATTCATGAGTTGTCAAGCGCAGGGCCCAGGGCCATCATTGACCACAACATGAAGCAAGCAGCAGCAAGCAGCAGGCAAGAAGCAAGCAAGCAGCAAGCAAGCAGCAAGCAGCAAGCAGCAAGCAGCAAGCAAGCAGCAAGCAAGCCAGCCAGCAAGCCAGCCAGCCAGCAAGCAAGCAGCAAGCAGCAGCAAGCAGCAGCAAGCAGCAGCAAGCAGCAAGCAGCAAGCAGCAACAGCAAGCAGCAACAGCAAGCAGCAACAGCAAGCAGCAACAGCAAGCAGCAACAGCAAGCAGCAACAGCAAGCAGCAACAGCAAGCAGCAAGCAAGCAGCAGCAGGCAAGCAGCAGCAAGCAAGCAGCAACCAGCATTTGCCCCCTTGAAAGAATGAACAAATATAAGTTTTAAAAATCAACGCGATACTAAAAATTGAATTTTTTCCAGGCGCACGGCCCTAAAACAATGAAATCGCTCAATTATTAAAAGTTGTGATGATGCGAAACTTGAATTTTTTCCAAGCGAGCACTTGTATGGCCATCCAAGAACCCAACGGAAATACATGGATTTGACCCACAAAAGCCTCTAAAACAATTCAACGAATCACTGCAAATCTCATAGGCACAGACACAATCGCTACGACCCCCCTGAAAAGTTTCGCCCAATGGTATGGACTCAAAAGCAAAGAATCGCTACGACTTTGACCCTTGACTGTACGTTGTCGTGATGTTCGTTCGCGCGTAATAAATGAACTATTCGAGCGACCATCGGTAAAAATTCGCGTTCGCTGCTTCCAAAAGAACATGCCGCACCTGCATCTGGATTCCAAACCTGCCGTCCGAAAATTCATCACTATCACATCATTGATACCATATTGTACCTGGCATCCGGCGTTGCAGAACAAAAACCCGCTGGCAGAATGAACCCGAAGGTGCGCCAAAAAAATGTATGCAAAGAAAGGTCGTGAATATGCCACTAGTTCATGCCAATAGTACCGCACAAGGCGGTAGCGGAAGTTTCAAAAATCAGAAAACATAAGAAAGGTGAGCGGTCGTGCTCACCTCGACCACAAATGCTGAAGGTAGTGCGATGTTGGGTAATGTCATTGTACTAGCAGTCGCACTCGCAATCGCACGTGTAGTTCTGGCTGTAGTTGTAGCGTGGTGTAGTTGTAGCGCGATGTAAGTTTAGTTGTAGCTGTAGTTCGTGTTGTCGTTATTATAATTTTCTCAGCGTCGTTCTAATTCCAGCTCTGGTCATTCCAGCCGTAGTTGTAGGCGTACCGTAGTTGCAGTTGTAATTGCAATTGTAATTGTAATTGTATATGTAATTGTAACCTAATTGTAACCTAATTGTAATTGTAATTGTTGTTGTTGTTGTTGTTGTTGTTGCTGTTGCTGTTGCTGCTGTTGTTGTTATTGTTGTTGTTACGTGGTGCAGATGAACGTCTAAAAGTGGTCCGAACGTGGTGTGTTTTTCACATTTTGACTTCGAAATGTGTTTCGCGCCACGACCTCATAATTTGAAAATGTGTTCCGCGACCGTCAGTTGTAACCACTTTTGATTTCGAAATGAGTTTCGCGACACAATGCGGTGCAGTGTTTGAACATCCCATGGGCAAAAGTGTTCGAACGTACTGTGCGTTGCACATTTTGACTTCGAAGCGCGCTTCGCGCCACACCTCGGCCCACGTTTTTTCACATTTCAACTTCCAAAGTTTTAACAATTTTGACTTCAAAATGTGCTTCACTCCACACCCTCCGCTTTAGCGACCTTACCTCTGGACCCTCCTGAACCATGAAACATTGGAAAAAACTATTTTTTCGCATGTTTTTTGCTTTTGAGCGCGCGTGTTTCCTGTTTCTTCTGACTCAATTTTTTCTCTAATTTTCCTTCTGTTGTTTTTTCCTCTTTTCTGACTCTTCCCACCTCTGCCTTTGTACTTTTCCACATTGTCATAAATTTGACTTGCGAATTTCTTTCGATAAGAAGAATCCTCTCAATTTAAGCAACACGTTGATTGAAAATTGCTATCATCACTGCTCATGTTGGGCAGGTGCGCGGGCGCAGTTTTTCCATGTTTTCCACCGTTTTTTTTAGTTTTCTTTGCGAGCCTGCCCCCCGCAGCAAATAGGATATTTGGTTGTGACCAAGGCACATTCATGCACTGACGCTACGCCCTCCACAATTTTAGCCCTGTTTCCCTGTGGGGAAAAAATCCGTTGGGCCAACTGTTTGTGCCCGCGTTTTGTTTCTCGACCGAGTACGGTTATGTTGAATGATGGCATGTTTATGGTGCTGGGCATGCATGTCGGTGTGCCCCAAAGTCAGATGAAATGATGCAGACCCTTCACGGTGTCACCATTTGTCACCACCCGCCCCTCTCAATGTTTGTGTTGCTGGGTGGTATTGAATAAAACGCAATTTACAATTTTTTATTGTTGGTCTTTGGCGTGCTGATTTTGTTTCATCTAGTGCGTTTATTTTTTTTGTTCGGAAACCTTCAATTTTGGCGGTCAACGCGTTTGGTTTCAAAGATTTGTTATCTAGCGTTCTACTACGTACAAGGGGTAGGACTCAAAATTTAGCCGGCTAAATTTCTGTCGGGGCGAGGTTCATTGGTTTTTTTCCCAGGCTAAATCCCCTGGCCCTAGTCCCCCTGGCGCTAGGACCCGAAAATTTAGCCAAACACAATTTAAAATCAACAATGTCACAACTTGCCCCGCTAATTTTTTTGGGCCTTAGGTTCAGCTCCAAACATGCAAACATATGCAAACCACAGGTCAAAACAAACAAGACACCTTGAAAAAACACACAAGTGAACATGAGTCAATTTTTTTGGGTATTGATGGTTCCCGATATTCCCTTGAGTTTTTCATACCCTAAACCAATATATTGATCTTACAATCACCGACCCACAGATGGTAATATATAATCGTATCATAATTTTGACAGGGATGATTAAAATTTTCCAAGATCAAAAGGGATGCCTACAGAAAAGTTTGTACTGGCTAAAGTTCAGGGACCCTAGCTCCTTATATGCATCATGCTAGCAAATGATTTCAAACTTGCTGTCTTCCCATGTCACACGGCTAAATTTCTTTGTTCCTACCCCCAGGGGCTTCAAATTTGCCTGGTTTGAATTCTTAGCTGGCTAGAGCCAGTGGGCTCTAGCCCAGGGAGTTTGGCCAGCTGGTGGCACGGTAGATATTTGTCTTCCTGTTTTGCGGAAGTGTTTGTGTTAGGCCAATGCCTAAGCTGAAACACGGCCACGTCGTTTTCTTTGAAACAAAGGGATACTGCACATCAACGGTGTTTAAGCGTAAAGGCAATGTTAATGAATGCAAACACTGAACTCCGCGGAATGGAAACGGGAGGATTGCACAAGAGCTGCACAGCCGCTGACCAATTAGGATCGAATTGTGGACAAAACCGGGGAAAATGTTCATGCGAAACACCAGCACCACAGCAGCTGCCTTTTTTTCACTGCGCGAATGGCAGTCCCAGCACAATTCTGGACTGAAACCTGGTCTACTTAAACCGGAACATTCAACAGCCTAACCAAGGAAGAGGGGGAAACCAACCAAGTTCAAACAACGCACATCAGGTCACCACGACAACTGCGATCACCGTCACGCCTGTGTGCTGAAAATATGTTTTCACCCATCGAAATGCGGCTTCAAGGAAGTCATGCCTATGTCATGCCCGCAACCCAAATCCCCATCTAAATGCAGCGGATTTTTTTTGTTTCATTTTGATTAACTGATACCGGTAGTACTGCACACGGCGGTGGCGGAAGTTTCAAAGATAGTAAACTTATAGGAAGTGTTGGGTTTTGAGTCCCATGGGCGGCAGAGCAAGCCACTGATGGATCGATTTTGATAATG